TCCACTAGAGATGTCTCACAACCAAGTCTGCAAACAAGGCAATAGTATGCAACAGTAAACAGCATTTTGATTACTCTCAAGGACACAAATAAACTTAATTACTTTAGAAGAAAAAAATAGTTAAGTAAGAATAATAGATTGAATTGGGTTAAAAAATGAAAACAATTAAAAAGAGGATACTGCTGTTTCCCCATGCTTTAGAGCTATTTTGGTCTAAGAAAATGGTAAAACACTATATTGTTGCCAAATGTTGGAACTTTTTCCTACCTTCCTGGTGTTGAAGACATCTTTCAGATGTAGGGAACACCTCTTTGGCTTAGCGATATAAAAACCAATTTGTAAACTGCTAATTTTCTGTAGCAGAAGGTCAATATATCAGATAGGTCTTAGTGAGGAACAGAGTGCAGTGCTCTCTCTGATAAAAGACAGAAAGGAAAAGAAATGTGTTGGAACCACAGAGTTGTTTCTTAGTCAGGCTAAGCTGAAAGATATAGAGGAGTGGGGGATGTAGAGTTTCGGAGTTGTTTTTATGAAATTGCAAATTTAAAGCAAGAACTGTGGAACCTTTTATCCTCATTTATTTGTTTGATCTGGTGTGTAGAAATTATATAACAAGGAAAGTGCAATGAATTGGCAGCAATCGTAATATCTCATAGTAAAATAATGACAGACTTCTGATATCATGGTAGAATGTATGTTATAAATTTGATCAAGATATGGTTTCGATTGTTTATCCTCTCCTCTGATGAGTAAACAAATAATGTTTATTTTGGGACGTGGCGCTTGGCGACCAGCCATGATGTTACAGATGCAGGGAAAACAGATACCTGTTCACTACTGTTTCTACTAGCAGATTTACCCCTGTATCAGATTCTTCGTAATTTGATTGGGAAAGTCCAGGATATCTTTTGATTAGCCACCTGTGGCTCCGAGGCAGAAAAATTGAATTTTTCAAACTGCACGAGTTAACATTCTGTTACCTAAATTCATCCCTAGTGTTTTGCAATTATTGAGTTTTCACTCTTTGAGAAAAGTCATGTGAGTAGGGAAAATTAATGTTATCGAAATGTCTTGATTTGATTTAATAATTATTTTTATGCAATAAAAAGTGTGATTGAATTATGTCAACGGAACAGCAACTTCAGACTATATTGAATGATCGTTTATTTTGGGGCCTATGTGGGCTTATGATATATTTCCTTCAACAGCGAAGTAACAGCTGCCCTAATTGGTCTGGATAGGATCCAAAGTCATCCACATCCCCAACACATACGAGAAAAAAAAGAGCACTATCTTTTTCTCTGCAATCGCCACTTATTCCAACAACTAGGGGATTTAATTATATGCTGTATTTGGTCCTTCATGAAATTGATGTAGCATTTTCAATTCATCATAGAGAACAGAAAGTATGAAGCCTGTTCATACATTTAGTGTTTAAAGTGTTCTTAGCATGCGAGATCGTGATCGTTTTCAGCAACTTCTGGCAGTCGAGATAATTGGCCACTCATTATGTGTCCTTCGTGGCACATCCTTTTAATTCTTTTATGGTGAAAAAGATCACAAAAATATTGCTACACTTATTCTAGTCCTAGTGATGGGTAGTTAATTAACTTTCACTGTCTGGGGATGAAAATGAATGAATCCAATAACTGGTGAAAAGGGGGGGGGTTACCAATGCATTTTAAGAACAATTTTACTTGACCAGAAAAAAATCCCATATTTGTCAGGAGATAGATTAAATTGAGGAAAATATTTACTTGGTATTTAATAGTGTTGAAACTTGTGAAAATAAAAAAAGATTAACAAGGAACATAATATAACAGGAACAAATTTTCCTTCTGCAATTTGTTTAAGGAATAATGCTAGCTAATTATGTGAGCTGTGGTGGTTTGGCAGCTATTTTTATTTAGGTCTTCATAACTTTTGAATTAGTTGGAGTAGCTATTCGGAGTAGCTATTATTAGATACACAAAAACCAAAACATATTATTTTTAATTAATGGTGAATTGAATATTTTAATAATTGAAAAAAGTATGTATCAGTTGTAGATGACACCTGAAAATAAAAATCAGGTCATTTTTACAAGGAGATCTTGACTTTAAAATTTGAGAACCAAAAATTCATTTTGCTGTTGAAATTTGGGTTAATTTTTAGGCATTTTTTTGGGTCAGATTTGAATTTTTTTGATTTCTGAATGAAAAGTCACAAACTTTTACCTAATTAAAATTTTTGAAAGGTTGAAATTAATAAAGGAAAACTTAGATTGATGTTTTTCTTCAGTGAGGGCAGCTTTATGTTTTATTTGTAACTGAATTCCTCTGACTCTATTTTACTGAGTTTATTGTCTAGCACCAGATTTGGATTGAAGTGTTCTATAAACATTGACTTAAGAATTTTTCCAATTACGAGAGCAATTTTTATGATCTTGCTTTGAAACAAAAGACCAATTCATTATTTACCCTAATTTTCAAGCATCAGAATAAAAAAGGGAGAGATAAGTTGCGTAGTGATTCAAGTCATATCAGAAATTGGAATTTTGCGCGGAGCTAGATCAACACGTATTTTGTAGGACCTGACGAGACAGTTGTGACTCTCATTGCCTAAGCAGAAAAAAGATCTTTCTATAATTCTGTTACGCAGACGACAGAGGAAGCTAATAGGCAAATCAATGTCAGATTTCAGTAGCGGAAGCTGGTGTAGACGTCCCAGGCCTGCCATCTTCTCAGACAATTAACAACTTTATTCCTTGTCCAAAAAACAGCTTATTCCCTGCTCTGCAATTTGAAGTTATGCAGATTCAGTATGACCCCAGAATATCAAGACCTTATAATAATGTGCTAGACAAAAGAAGTCATCAATAAATTTTTTTGTTTGGAAATTCCTATGTTTTGAAACTTCATTGACTTCTTGCTATAACAGATTTATTGGATTAATTTTTTGTGGTTTTATTGGCCAATTTCCAAGCTGCACAGTTCAATTGTAACTTTAAACTGTGCTTCTGGGAGTGAATTATTAATGAAATATCATTATTTTTGTCTCATAAAGGGTTCAGGTGGATTCTGAAAATCTGGAAATTTTGTTTGGGTAGGGGGTCGGTACAGTTGAATTTTTTTTCAATTTAAGATTGGAGGTCTGGAGGGCTGCCCTTAAAGCCTTAAGTAAGTCATGGGCAATTGTCCCCATATTTCCTAAATTTCAGTGATTTAAAGAGTGAAACTTAATCTTATGATTTCATTCATATGGGCATATAGTTACAGTACAATTTACCATTCAGTCAAATCTTGACTGAGGTTTTTCATACTCTAGGTTATGTTACATTATTATTTTCTATCTATTACTGTTTGTGATTTTCCCATTTGACTGTATAATATTTATGACAAGGGAGTGCACAGCAGTGGTGACTGTTTGATAGGGAATGCTTACTCTTTCATGGCACTTGATCCCATGTCTAGTGTTTTTAGAGGTCCATGTTTGCTCTGCTCCCAAAACATATTGTTTCAAATAAGCCTCTTGAGCCTTATAAACTACTGCTTGTTATTATCTTAAATTTCCTTTATTATATTGTGTAAGATCCCACAGATTAAAATATATATCTTTTCTTATTTAGTTTTTGGAAGGATATGATAGAATTTTTTTGCTTTATAATGTTTAAAAATGGTTGTTTTATCCTGGGCTTTTATAGATATTCCATGGCAACTCAAAATTAGAGGCATCAGGGCTTAAGTGCTCAAAAGAAAGAGTTACAGCACATCATGAAAAAGCTGTGCATTGGATGTCTAGACAATTTTCTTTTATATTGACATTGCCCATTTTGTGGTACACTTGCAATCAAACAAAGTTTTTTTGCCTATCAGGGAGGAGAAAATATGTAGCTTTTTTCAGTGTTTAAACACACCTTTACATTAAAGTGTATTGAATTTACCTTTTCTCATCTCTACAGTGTAAACAGCCCCCTGCATTATGTGCAATCTTTAAATATTCATGTGTTCTTTTTATTGATTGTTTGTATAAGCTTTACGGCATTCACTGTCTCAAACAACTCAAAATATACAAATTATCTCAATTGTTTTTCATTTTAAGGTATCTAAAAGTTTCGGTATCATATGGAACATAAAATACCATGTCACAGCTAGTCTTCAACTGAATGGTGGCTGCAGTGACATAAATGATACAAAATTAAGAGCTAAAATATACTGGAAGCCTTGGTCTGCACAAACTCCATATGCTTACTACATTTCAATATATTTCTTTACTTGTCCCGTGGATTTAAAAGATTTGGTGTTTGTTGCATTTTTATTTGCTAGCTGTAAGGCAGTAGATAGGGCCACAAATCTTAAGAATGGGAGAACTTTTAACTCATTACAGCCCATACTGCTTACTTTTGTAATAGAAACTCCATACAGATTTCATTGTTTCTCTTTCTTATCAGCTGGATTGCAAATATTATTGGTATGGGATGCTTGCTTTGGCATATGGCAGAGAATCCTGTGTTTGGTTGGTTTAGATTTATTACACTTTTAATTGTTTATACATGAAATAGAATGAAAACTCCCAATGATTTAGCTTCCCTTTACTGCTTATATGGGATTACCTCCCTTCTCTTTGAGGAAGATTTATCTCCCATTTAAAGTGATCAGGTATTACTCCCCCTTTCCTTCAGTCAATGAACTTTATCTCCTATTCGTAGTGATCAGCGACTATTCCCTTTTACAGCCCACTGTGAATACAGGCAAAAATCTTGAGCAATTGTGGGCAATTTATCTTTAAAATGAGAGCAAAGTTCCCTGTGACAAAAAGACTGTCACAGTAATTAATGATAAAGAGTGAATCAAAATTATGGGCCAAATAAAGAGGTTGCATATATTACATTCCAGAGATTTTTTTATTAAACAATTTTATTTATGATGTATCAAATATAACTAACCACTTTTCATTTTTTAAGGCAGTTTCCTGTGTGAATTATTAGAAATGTTCTTTAATGTTTCCTATTTTTTTTCCAGACTCAACAAATCTGTGGTTTTAGAACTCCTCCAAGTTCAATGCAGGTAGTCCCCAAGGATTTACCGGGATCTTCCAGCTCTGGCCCCTTGAAAACAAAACGAGAAATTGGCGGGGAAATGTACGAGAAAATTCTGGAGGTCATGAAGGAGCTGCTGACCTCCCTGAAGATGTTTGACACCATCGCTGATGATATCTGCGATCAACAGATTTTTTATGACCAGGATATTAACAGTACTCAGTGCTGGAATGGCCTTACAAAGGGGAGGTAAGAATGCAAAAACTTTATAGTGTTATCTCCCTTTAAAATCTGCTATATGAATTTGTGGCACAATATAAAAATGACCTGAATAACTTAAAATGAGTTTATGATAATGGAGAATGTAATAAATGCTGAGGTGAGAAGGGACATTAAAGCTAGACGTAACAAGGTGGGAGAATAGAGGAGCAAGCCAGGCTGTTGTAAAGATATCAGACTGTCATCAGGCCATCACTGCTCACACCACAAACATAGATATATAGATAAAGTGTCAAAAAAGAGATGTCAGCTCCTGTTTCACACACAGGCCCTGTACCCCAGTGAACTACCTGTGTAGGCCGCGTCTAACCTTGGCTGACCTCCTTCAGGCCAGCCAGCCAGACAGGGACTGATATTGGTGTGTAAGCAAACAGCTTCCAAACAGAAACCAGGGGATTTAAATTCAATTTACTTCTCATTCAGGACTCGCAAGAAATATTTGAAGTATGTTGAAAGGTCTGATCAATGGATCAGAGTTTATTTTAAGGGGATGAGGTCATCATTTTTCTTGTTTCTTTAGGTGTTTCATAAAAGGTGTGCAATATTTGTTTGATTACAATTAATGACTTTCATTTTTGTAACACCTGGCTCAACCTCACAATCTACCATTTATAAATAAGCATTGTGCAATCATATAAGGCTACTTGAGAATAGTATAACATAAAATCATAACATAACTAGTATATGATTTTTTTGTCAATGTCAGACTGTTAAAGGTCATTGATACTGAACTGAATTCTATAATAACCCCCCCTCCCCTAAAAAAGTTCAAATTAACAAAATCAGATGTATTCGGAGTAAAGAAGGATATTGATATATACAATGTATTTGTAGTGATTAGTGGAAAGAAAATGCACACATTTTTTATTTACCAGGTATATCTGCTCTTATCTTAGGTGAGAAAAGCAAATCTAATCATGAGCTGAGGAAAAAATCGTCCACATTATATAGAAAGGGGGACAAGGATTGATCATAAATAAAACTTTAATCGTGTAGCTGTGAGATGACATTCATTGAATGCTTCTCAAATCTGCTGGGACGATGAATTAAAGTACAAAGATTACGTACCAATGATAACAAAAATTGCTCAAATTTTTTTCATTCAGGTTTTACATCTTTAAACATTCATTTGCACCTGACAGGTAAATTTGTCACAAGGAGTGGCGTTTTCTTTCTGTTTTATTGAAACAAGTCTGAAAAGTGCACCTAGAGTAATCTCCCTTTTTGTACAGTCCACGGTATTAAGTTTAAAAAACCTGCAATATACTTTTGGGGGGATGGGTAGGGGAGTATTGTTAAGAAAAATTGTTGAGCAGTTGGTATTCACACATAGGGAAAGTGGCTCCTGGCAGTGTGCTTCTTGCCAACTAGGAAATTGCACTCATACAGAATGAAGAAATGCTAAGAATCTCCTGCAAAGTGTTCTTGTAATGAATTTATGGGAAAACTCACTGTAACTGGAATTATTGAATTCACTCTGATATTTTCAGAAGAGAGAAAATATGTGTACAATTAGTGTGATGCAACAACAGATGGAATAGGAAAGACTTCCTCTTAACCAGTGGAAAATACCCCTTTATAGCTTGGATGCTATTGAAATTTTTTTTAACCAATTCTCATTTTTTCAGACTCATCCTCCCCACTCCCCTCCCCCTACCCCCACCTCCCAAATAAACAGATGCAAAGAAGCATAAAAATGTTTCTTGGGTGAAAAGGAACATATTTAGCAATCTTACCATGTATTAAAGCTTTTAAACTTGAAAGGGACATGGATCATTTGATAAAATTAAATCATAATGACATTAAATTGCTTGGTATTTGCTGACATTTTGGTTGCAGATAAACAGTTTAATCCATTAGTTCCATCATATTTCTAAATGATATTAAAAGTAATCAGAAATGTATCTCTTTGATGATCTTGCAAGCTTGGTAACGATTAAGCAAGTATCCTAGTGCTAGGCTTCCTACACTACACTGTGCAGAGAGTACGCTGATTGTGATACATTGCGCCCGGACTTTGCAGTCTAGACACTGCCCGGATTATTGCTCAATGTTACAGATTTATTGCACCTCATTTCCAGAAATGCCTATATATGTATATTCCTAGTATCCTGATCTTTTTACCAATTTTTTTTTATGAACCATGATTTTTTTAAATTTTGTTATGATATACTAGTACATTGCCTTATCCTTACTGCTTATTTAAGAAATAAGGTATCATTTTTTGAGTTTTATTGGGATGTGAAACGGGTTGGTCACGTGATCAAATCCCATAAAGCCCTTTTATCATGTGCCAACCCATTTTACATCCCAATAAAACTCAAAAAATGATACCTTATTTCTTATATTTACATTTGTGACTTATTCATACTTTAAATTTGCCTGATTGTGACTTTTAACATGTGAAATGCATTATTTTTCAAACCCAACTGCATGTATATACTAGTAATCCACTGAACGCGCATTGACCCTTTATGACGTCACTGAGAAATTACGTCGAACGTTTATCCATACGCAAATCTATGACCTCTTGACCCCGCACCTGTATTTATACAGTTATAAATACGCTTGCTTTCAGTAGTGTTATATAAAGGAAAACATTTGCAAATGTAAATATTAAAGAGTAAATTGGACATCTTTACGTATGTGGGTGCTGGTTTTAATATAGCAAATTTTTTATTTGACATCTAGTCCTTGCACAAGTTGGAAGAATGTTCATGCTTTGCTAAAAAACTTGACCGAGCATGCCCCGAGAAACCCTAATTGTCGTAGTCTGAATCATCATCACCACATTTAAAACATCACAAAATACCAGGGCCTTTTTCTCCCTGAACGGTGCGACAAACATCACTACTTTTGACCAAACGCGTCCTCCGATACAAGAGGCAGTCAAGCATGAAAGGTCACAGGACAGGATGATGGTCTGGTGCCTCCTAGCTAGATATGGCTAATTACCATAAATCTTTTGCGTATTTATAAGGAGATTCCCCGTGAATGGGTGGTCACTTAGTGTGTGACCCAGACATATACATAAATAATATATTCACATTTAAAATTACAATAGGTCGTCAAACTATATTTTTGTGTGATTCCAATACAGCTGATTTGGTCACTGAAAAATTGTATCACATTACTAATCTTCAAAATATATCTAAAAACAATCAAATTTTATATATTAAAAGTTCTTGGAGCATTTTTGGTGTATAAAAGCCAAACACCTATTTATGATACATGTGTAAATTAACGAATAAGTTAGCTGCAAAAAGAGATCTCAGAATTTGGTTGATTTAAATTTTTAAGACTTTTCTCAAAATGTGCATCAATTGTATCAGTGACATGTTTGTACTTCATATAATCTTTGAGGCATTCAGCAGGTTATATGATATGAAACTAGAGAAGTATGGAAGTTTTTATATGTACAGTCTTATAAATGCAACAAAAGAAGTTCAGACCTGATATTATCAGATAAAGAAGGCCTTGTCCCGATTTGTACGTGATACAACTTCATAATAAAATGGGATGAACTATTTTTTGTGATTATCATAATTTCAAAGGAGAGAATGGGGTAGAATACACCCCAATATTTTTAATGTGTGTATGAAGTTTCACAAAGGGCAGGTTTTCTCATTACAAGAGGGCTAAATATGAGTATTTCTCACCAGATATGACATAAAACATTGGAATCGGACACTTACCTGTACGAGCCAGAACAAACAATGGGTGTGGTCAGGGGGCAAGAAAAAGTATCAATTGTTTTTTTGTAAGAACTCGAACAGTTGCATGTTCCAAGTTAAGATGCTTAGATCTGATGTCGGGAAAAAAATATATAGAATACCAAAACCACAGAGAAGCAATTTGCCTGAAGCTAAAACCTATTGTTATTTTGCAACGTCTTTAAGCAGAATTACATCAATGGTTCATTAACAGATCTTCTGCTTCATTAGACAATGCAGGATCTTGTTTCACACCCTTGTTCTGCACTTCTGTTTTATGGCCTCACACCCTAGGTCTATTTTGTTTCCTGAGTTAATATCCTCAGGAATTTAGAAAGCATTTTACTTTCACTCTACGTTCAGTGTGTATTGGATTATTTATTTTTTCTTCAGTTGTTTTTAGCTCTTCTGGTAAGCTATCCCAGGTAATTGTCTGTTTGCCTGTCATCCATTTGTCTGCAGACATTTTCAAAATGCTACTACTCCTGTAATGACTGGTCTGAGTTATATAACTACTAAAAATGCTCTTCCTCCCACAGTTTGATTTGCAACTTCAAACTCAAATAACACAATTTTAGGAATCATCAGGATACATAATTCCAGGTGCTTTAAGACTTTACTATATTGCAAACCCCTTGAGCTACAGTTTCATCAGAGATTTTTGATTAATTTGTATACATCAAACCACTTGATCATCTACACATATTTACACCTTTTTGAATAACACCAAAAGAACCAGAATTGAGTGATTATGAAAATAATTTCAACATAAAAAGATTCAAATTAATATTGTTTGATAATATGAATGAAAGAATATGGAAACCTAAGTCACACCACAAAAAGATGTTTTACAGAATAACTCAATATGTCCATGGGAATCTCCTTTTGATCCAATTTTACATCATTTTTTACCTCATGAATTACACAAATTTTTACAATTCTGCACGTAATGTGTCAGATTTTCATGGTTCCTGTAAGTTTTTTCACGTTCTGCGTATTTTCTCTCTTGTTCTCAGTGGATCACTTTTCTCATTAAATGAATGTCAATGGAATCATCTCCATTTAATCGCTTCAAGAAGAGGATGTACTTTAGTGAATGGAAAGAGATATCAAATTTAATGAATTAAGACAGAGGAAATGGCAGAGAAATAGAATGTGTGTTGAAGATCAGGGCCATCCCTCACAGGTGTTCACTTACTGGGTAGCCATCTTACTCCGCAGATGGTAGAAAATGTTCAAAACAATAAACTGAAAGTATATAATTCATTGTTGCTGCACATTGTAGCCATCAAAAAAGCTAGACAGTTTAAATGTGGGTCATTGGATAAAAATTAAGACTTTAAAGCTGTAATTTAATGCAGGAAGGGGTGTTGCAAGATAATAGATTCAGATTGAATGTTTATATATATATATATATGTATAAATGTCTGACTGTCGTTTAAATCCTTTCACCTGTTCAGAAGGCATCTGAAAAACAAATTTTTTCCTTGTTGCGACTTCTTAGGGGGACTGTTTGATTTCGTGTATGTTAAAAGCTTAAGAAAGAAAGGGACTATGTCCAGAGTTTTGTGGTTTTGAGAGGAAAACCAGACTATTTTTGACAATGTTGCAATAAAGAAAGGGACTATGTCCAGAGTTTTGTGGTTTTGAGAGGAAAACCAGGCTATTTTTGACAATGTTGCAATTTTGATGTAAATCTGTCACCCAAGTATTTAAAGCATTCATTATCAAACTAATATTAAGCTGTAGAAGGGTCATTTAAAAAACGAGACGCATGTGTCTGTTTTGAGGCCTAGTAATTTCTGCCATAACCCCAACTGTGTGAAATGATTATAATAACAGGCTGTAAGAATCACAACCTTTTTTGAATCAATTAAATTGCCTTTGAACTCTCCACTCTGATACATACAATTAGATGTAAGGTATTTAATTAAGTACAGGCATTTGGAAGTTTGTTGCGAGGTGTCCCTCTATTTTTTTGTCAGCTACACCATGATATATGGTGTATTTTAAAATTGCTGTGGTCCTATCTAAATCTTTCATAAAGACTTTCCCAAATTGAGGGGTAGGTAAACGCACATTGGCCAATTATGCTCCGTGAGCTTAAGGTGATAGAAAGTTTGTTTCATTGTGACTAAGGACGGGACAAAGGAATGCAAATTGTCGTGAAAAGTCCCAGATACAAGATAACATTCCTTTTATTATATATATATACACCACAATTTAAACTTGATGACTTGGTAGATAGAAGAGATACCTGTATTCTTCCTATTTTTTGTGCACTGATTAGTGACTTCATAAAAATGTTCATTTGTTTTATACTTGACAAGTTGGCAACACTGTATGTAATATTTGAAAAGTTTAAGTGATCATTATCAGGTTGTTAGGTTATTAAGATTTATTTTACAGATGTAATGTGTCATAACTTCTCCATTATAAGTAACTGATCACAAATTCCTTGGCTGATAGAGTATTAGACAATTAAATTGATTTTTAGATATATATCAGAGCACTTTGAAACATAAATTTATAACAATTAATATTCCCTGAAAGGATACTGCTTACTGCTTAGAAATTGTTACTACATTGTCACTTTGCATCAGTTCTAAGAACTGATAAGACTTATTAATATGGCATAAATCATTGAGAACAGGTGTGGGTTTTTTGGTATTTGAGCAATGCCTAAGAAATTATTATTAATATCAATGACCGAATATGACAATATTTATAAACTGTCGTTGATTTAGAGGCCTTTTATCATCTCATGTCGTCTATACAAGTAGCATTCCAGGTAAGTTAAAGGAGGCCTTTCTACAAATCCGCCATCTAAGGTCAGATGTTCAAAATTTACATACCGTCTATGTATAGACAAATCTAGGGTCATTTTCTTAACCAAACCACTACTACCCTTTTGTAAATGTATTCTACAAAAAATATGATAACTACTGATCTGTGGCTCACTGGTCTGAAAAAAAAAGAACTGGGATGGACTGAGGTACCTTCAAGGCCACCCATTGAAAAAAAGTATATTGCATTTTTACTATTTCTTGGTTTATATTTCTCCATAAAATTAAGCTGTTACCTAAAAAAAATTACTAGATATTTTTCCCAAACATACTTTAGTATTTTTTTTTTTGTCTACTTGGCCACTCCAAAACTTAACAAGTCATGCACAAAGTGCATAGGACCTGAAATTGTCAAAATTTTGCACAAATATAATGCTAACTGTAATCAATTGGAGGTTTCTGGTTTATTATAAAAAAAAATATTTGAATTATAATTAAAAATCTGAGCAATATAATACCTGCACCTAAAACAATTAAGGAATTAGCATATCCCTTGATTAAGTCAAGGTATACATACTGACTGTGTTTTTTCTCCTGAAATGTTTCAATTTGAAGGTAACTCACTTTTTCAATAAATTTCATTTTATTTCAAAAAAATTGATGAAATATGTTAGAATGATAGTTAATAAATAGGAGGGAGATAGTTAACAGATTCACAGACCTAGCAAATTCACAAAATATTTATTTACCATATTATTATGTTAATAGTTATGCCACTTAATTCCTATGCCTGAAACAGTCAAAGAGAAATAACTCAATGGAGATTTCTGTTTGACAAGATTTGTCTTTCTTGGTACACTTTAAATATATATTTTTATTTTCCAGATACACTGAGGTAGTTGAAGATATTCCAACCCTACTAAGGAGAACAGCTATGGTTATAGACCCCAAGCTTGTTAGCCTGAAAGATAAACTAGCTTCGATGAGAGTGGTAAGGCTTACTGCAAGGTCTTTTATTGAACATAGGTCTTGGATTGAAAACATTTTGGTATTTGAAATTTTAATGCTTGAAAATGTTAGCAAAGATTGATAATTAAATTGGAAATCCTAATTAATTGTAGAACCTGATGACACGTTATTCTGACTTTGACTATGCCACGGACCGGAGACAACACATGCAGTCGGACTCCTTTAAGTACGGGAGCGGGGACTACAGCGTACATCACGATCATCTACTGACAGACGACGAGGACCTCTATGGTAGCTCCGGTGATATGTACAGTGGTAGTGGTAGTGGTAGCACGCCCGCCATATTTGATGTCACGGTAGAGGATACCAGTAAGTGGTGGCTATATAATTTAACTGTAAAATCATAATGGAAAAAGATTCCAATTTTTATATTAGTTTGCCCTGTGAAATTTCTTTTTTTAAAAAAGTGTGCTTTTATACAAAGAGTACATGTTTTTAGTTAAAATTTACACCACAAGGAAAACCAATGTCACTAGACTTAGGTTGACAATGGTTTTTCATTGAGTATATTTGGTATTATGACAATTTTTGACACTTTGAGAATAGGCCTACATCTAACAGAAATTTGTTACTTTAATTCCAGGATTTACCACAAAACTGCCTCCTAAAAAACCAAATCCTGCAGGAGGAAGTTCATGTTTGACTGTTTCCATAGCAACAGTATTAATGGTGATTTTGACATTAACGGTGTTATGATACATGTAGTGCCTTTGATGTGTTAAATTTTTGTTACATTGATATATGAAGAAAAAATCCAAAATTGGCTGGCCATTCTTCCAGGAAACCTGAAAAACATCTGAAGGTTCCAAGTACAGGAATGTATAGTGAAGAATTAGTTGTTTTCATTGTTCCAAAGAGAGCCATTTTTTGTTGTTAAAAATCAAGGTATTTAGCAAACAATCTTACTGTAATGTGTATCTGGAGAACTTCAAATCCAGTATAATTGTTTTTATCATTCTCATTGCTGTTATGAGTGAAAGGCTTTAAAATGTCAAAAAAAGTGCTGCATGTTGTCTCATTTTCATTCACATTATGTAAAAGAAGGCTTGCATGAAGATTCTAAGGATGTGAATTCATGGAATAATGTCAGTGATTGAGATAGGTGGTCCTGCTTTAGAATGGTGCAGAATCGGGAGGGAATTGTTAGAGGTGTTTGGTCAAGGTTATGGCATGATGTGCAATCTTACATTTTCATTTTTGTATATGATACATGTTTCATTTATTATATTTTCTGTTCATGTTCTGAGAACTTTTTATGCATAATTTAAAGACACTTTTTTAGCAAGTTGATTGTTTATTTCTACAGACATTTAACAATGAAATATCTGATATTCTATAATCACTATAACAGTCAAAATGTTTATTGTTTATTGAATTCTGAGATGAAACCAAGTTTAAATTGTACGTTTATTTTTAATTTTATTTTTTATGTATATATAGCCACTTAAAAATGAAAATAAAAAGATTATCTGAACAGATTGAAAGAGTTCAAAATTTAAAGTAACACTGAGTATCTTTTTTAATGGAAGGGGGGGGGGCATCATTAACTCTCAAGACAATTAAAGTATTACAATTTATGTTGTGTATTTTTGTTTAATTGTGATGTTATATAATGTACAACATTGTGTTAATGATATGTACATACATGTATGTAATATGAATGAATCAGATTCGTGATGTATAAAATTTTACGTATTGTATATTATTTTGTGTTTGATGGACTCAAAGTCCACACGTCTTGATTTCCTTGTCTTTGTAGAAAGAGTAAATTAATAAGCAGAATATTTAAGTGTGTACATGAATCATTTGTCTTTTATTCATTATCTATCTGTGATTTCTATATAATTTTTGACAGTACCCCATGTGGAAGACGCACTAGTTTACTATTTCACACATTTGATTTATTATAGAGATGTTGATTTTCTTTTGTACTTAACAATATACCTCTTCCCTCCACAAATGACTTTTCCTGTTGTAGGTTATGTATTATATAAACTGTAGATCACTTAATTTTCACGACACCTTATTTTCACGATATAGTCATTTACTCTTTATTAGCAAAACAAAATTTTAACGAATTGTGGTCAGTACTCTATATGATCTTAAGAAATTCTATTATACGCGAGAATCAAATTTTCGCGAGCATAACGTCTCGCGTAATTACACGAAAATAAAGTTCTCGCGAAGAAAAAGTGATTTACAGTAAGTAGCAGCAATTAAAAGATAATTCCATTCTAACTGAAGGTTGTCTTCATCTACATACTGGGGGAAAAGGGGAAAGATACTTTAAATAAAAATATCACCATTATTTCAACTTTACCTACACTATCTCGTTATCTCGATGCCACCATTCAAAAATTTTAAACATGTAACCTGTTGAATTGGAACATACGAGGGTTGATCCAAAAGTAATGTCACAACTTCAATAAAACTGCTACTGGTCGATGTACAACAACATAATTATGAACAATGGAAGCTATATTTATTTCAAATCAGACCTGAAAATTTTAATTCAAGGTAAATAATACTTTTAAAAATATAGAGTTATATACACTATGCGAATTTGGTAGTAGCTGCATCTAAATAACGCCATGTTATGGATACTCGCCGTCATACTTAAAAACGTTTCCCAATATAATTATTTGAGATTCTCGGAATATGTTCACAAATTTCTGTTCTTTAATGAATTCTTGGTAGCCATTGTGCATTCACTCTTTTCATAACAAAGTCCTTTGTCAAAATTCCTAGAACAATGAAGTAAGGCAGTGTTTAAATACATTTACATAACAGATACACGATGTCTTTTGACAACATCAGATACCGTGAGTGTTAAACATTTCCTTCCGACCATTCTACTTTCAGCCTTCCTGTCTTCTGATAATGATTCAATAATCTATCACACTTCCTAAAATCTATAAACATGACTGTTCTTTACTTTTTTATCATTGTAAGTCTTATCAATCAGTGTAACTGTCTAAACTGGTAATTTCCCCATTTTGAAGTAAAAATGCATAACAGCTCGTTACCCCCCCCCCCCCCTTTTTGACACTTCCTTTGTTCAATGCATCAGAATGAGTATGAGTCAAATACTATTTTTTCAATCAAAAATTACAATGGCGTCGTTTAATTTTAACTAATCATTAGACAAACATGTTTATACTAAGTTAATTTTGTCTTTTAAAATTTTTAGGCGATAAGACACGTTTGAAATGTTTTTTAATGTGTTTGTCTTTCACATCCTAAAAAATTCTTTAAAATGTGACGTTTAGATGTGTCGCGGCGACACCCCCATTGTTTGATTTTTTAAACATGTATAAAATTAATTTAATTTAACATTATTAGAAAAAAAAGTTTCTATGTTTATTACATTTATATATGTGCATATTTTGGTATATTGTATTTGATAAAATGACACCAAACACAAAAGATATGTACACTGTGACATTACATTTGGATCAACCCTAGTATCTATAGTATGTACACAGTAATTGGTCTTCTGAAAAAAAAAATGGGGGGAGTTGAAAGTATTTACTAGCTTGTAACAAAGTTTTTTAAAATTATTCACGTATAATTATACTAGCCTGGAAGTCTACAAAGAAAACTGTACTTGAAATATGTAGAGTTTTACGATAATGTAACCCAAATAGAGACGAAGCAAAATAATAGATGTAATTAATCAGTTTTAAAAGATATTTATCATTTTGGTAGAATCATCAGAAACATTCATAAGAAATCCTAGCTGTATATGGCGTAATTTTTGGCAGACTATCATACAAAGATCATATTACATCTCATATAGGATAAATTTATATATTGCTTTGATTTTTCTGAAGGTATTTCTCTTAATTATTTAAATGTGTGATTATGATTGTTAAATGTGAATCATTCTAAATGAGTTGTAGTGACTGGTGTTATAAAAGAGACCTGTATGAGTGCCTGTGTATGGATGTCACTTTGTACAGTTCAATATGCCATCTTATACAGAAATTGCAAATCTATTTTTTTTTTGACTGCAGAAATTTAAAGTTTATAAGCTGTTGTGAAAAGGTTAAACAATTTTTTCTCTTAATAAATTGAAAATTCTTGAAATAATTATTTTTAGAAATGCATGTATTCCAAGAAATTACCATAAGGCCATCCTTAAAATATTGTTTGTTTGGAATTGCCGCCTGAAGGGTTTCAGACACAGGAGGGAGGGAGGGAAATTATTTTTTTTTAATTGAAGATGAATCTTAAATTTTTGATAAAAATCTCAGCAAACAGTAAATACATTTTCTGACTTTAAAAAAGTATCTACCATCAACAAAAAACCTAATTTTACATAGATCTGACACTATATTTCAGTGTTTTGTATGGTGCATGTGATACATGTAATGGATAAAAAAAAAAAATTGATTAAATGAAAAAAAATCTTCCTACTTTTGGTCAATAAAATTTTTTCAGGAGGGGGGCATTTCAATGAGGCGGGAGGCAATTCCAAACAAACTATAATTTTATTTTGGCCTAATTCATGTTTTTTTTTTAATTTTCATTTTCATTTTACTTGCTTATCAACATCTTTTTTTTTTCAAAAGAACTAAAATTTTCCATAGTTTCTGATTAAATTTTTAGTAGAAATGATTTTATTAAGTATCCCAATTTTTTGGAAGATTTTGAATTACACTGAGTTTTGTTTTAAGCCACAGCTTTGCAAAACAACATTCTGGATTTTAGTTAATGTCAGAAATTGCAGTTTCTGTTGTTTACATAAGAAATGTTTCTAATCTATCTTTATATTTTGTTGATTAAATCGTGATATTTTAAATAGTTATTTGGTTGTTGTTATAAACCAAGAAAATGGTCATGATTTGAATTGCAGACAATGAAAAGAGTATGAAATGTGTGGAGATAATGAACAGTATTCCAGCTCAAAAGTCCAGTAAACATTACAAAACAGGAGCGGGGTAATCATCAGAGGCGGGATCAGGCACCATGGAGGAGTGAGCATCCCTGCCGACTGATCACACCCACTGTGTGCTCCTTGTCACGATTGGGAAATAACTAGGGCTGGGTATTGGTCAAAGATTTCGTAAAACGAGACCGCTGATATTCTTGCTTCATCAACTTGTTCATCAATAACTTACCTTGTTCTCGAAATTGTTTATACATAGAACATGCTCGCAGGTATCAAATCAATTGAGAAATATAAACTCCGTATGCAGCCAGGTGATGAAGGTATTTTGCTGCATAAGTAATGGAAGATGACGAAGTTAAAGTCATCATGTTAATCATAGAGCAGGGGCGTAGCAACAGGGGGGGCCAGTGGCCATGGGGGCCTGGCCCCCCACTTTTTTTCCCAACCTTACCTATACTATAGCAAATGTTAATTGAAAACCTGGTTGCCCCCCCCCCCCCAGTTTTAGTGATAAAAATTTTGCCTCTACCCCCCCCCCCCCCCCCCTTGAAAACCTGGTTGGCCCCCCCCCAGTTTTAGTGATAAAAAGTTAGCCTCTACACCCCCCCCCCCCCCCCCCCCTCTCTCTCTAGGATTTTCGGCTTTGGGCAACTTTTCCCTTTTTTTTTTTTTTTTTGCTTGTCAACTTTTTCAGGTAAGTAAAAAAAATTTTTCTCCGGCTGGCCCCCCCCCCCCCCACGTTCAAAAACGATGCTACGCCACTGTAGAGCTTGGTTGTTAGATTACCATTAACGTCTTTTTCTAGTAAAATATCCAAATATGAAACAGATGTGTCAGACTCTGTGGTATCTTTTGTCTGAAGCTCACCAGGATATATGATATCAACATAATCTTGGATGAAAATTACCATTGTTAATTGACAATAAGTTGTCGATATATCTTTATGTCGAGTTGAAGGCCACAGCAAATGTTTTCTTCTTTTCACGCATAAGATTTTACACAAATATTCTGCTTCATATGAATTCAAAATTAGGTCTACTAATAACGGGGTGCAATTGGTACCCATTGGATTCCAATAGAGTACATTGTTGGAAGACATGGTCTCCAAAAACAACATGGATATTGTCAATCCGAAACTCATTCAAGCATCTTTTTGATGTGAACCTCAGAGTACTTGTGACTGTCCTATCAGAATGTTTGTTAACAAAATGATTTTGCAAATGACCAATGACAAGGTAAGTGAATTTACAAGTTCCGTTTTTATTGAAAAAGCAGCTCTGTCAATGATATCAAAAAGTCTGAACCTAAATTTATCGTGGGGAATGGTTGTGCATAAAGTTAAAAAGTGGTAAGCTGTTGATCTTGGTGAAATCTTGTGATTTCAAATTGTCCAAAAGTTCCTTGGAATCTGTAAGTATGCACATTTGATTTTCAACACTAAGCACTTCTTGAATATATTTGCACAGTACTATTGCCGTTTCTCCTTCACTACTATCAATATCTTAGTGAGGAGTAAAGAAAAAGTCTTGGTTGAACATATACTGGAACCCGCTATGTATCTTTGTTTGTAAAGATTCTTATGAAGTTTCGGAATCCAATATATACCAAGGCGTCGGAACCGAATGGGGGGGTACCCCCTGTTACAACGCACTTCGAAAAATTACGCACTTTGAAAAAAAATTTCAAAGTGCGTTAAATATGGGACCAAATCAACGCACTTTGAGAAAATAAAAGTTCTTTTCAAAGTGCTTTAATATCGACCATATTAACGCACTTTGAAAAAATATATGCATGGCTTTTTCAATATTCTTGCAAATCTTGGGTATGGTAAATAATTGAACCTGCATGTTTGCTAACTTTTTGGTGATGAGGTCACTACAGGATGTGAAAGTGAGCGATTTTGATTTTTCCATACTTTGAAAATTCTATCTCTCTTAAATGTTTTACTTAAGTTTTGCAGTTTGCATGCATTTTATATGTAAACTAAAATTTATTGAAAGTTTTCAACGTCATACCAGTTATGCAAATACATACATACCATTGGGTGTAGCGTAAGCATCGGTACCGGGAAGGGGGGGGGTTCTTAGGAACTCAAATGTTTTGCAAAGATATATAGGCATTGAAAATCGGGGCTTGCCTTTGAGGGGGGTGTCCACTTTCAATTTGCTACCGACGACTATGTACAAGGTATAAAAAAAAAAGAGTTGGGCTGAGAGACCTTCTACTCGCCTTCTCCTTGCTCCCAATGAGGTTTAATGAATACATGTAAATTAAAATGAATTTTCGAAAGATATAATTAATAAAAGTTGATTATCTCAATTACTAAAATCTAGGTATAGAGTTTTTTGTTTTATACATATTTTTTTTTCAAAGTGCGTCAAATGTCCCAAGGTAAAAAAATGTATATATACGCTCTTAACGCACTTTGAAATATTTTTTGAAAGTGCGTTAAGTGTGTCCAAAACTTAACGCACTTTGAAAAAATTTTTCAAACCGCGTTGATTTTGTCCTAATTTTAACGCACTTTGAAAAAAAAATTTTCAAAGTGCGTTGCCACCACCCCCCCCCACTTTTTTTGCAAAGATAACCATGATATAGACATTGAACATCGGGGCATAGGATTAGCCCCCTCTCACTTTCAATAGTTAGTCGTAGTTCAGGTCAAAAAGAGCAATTGATCGTGTTTGGAAAAAAAACTGTATCAAAAGAAATTGGATCTTACCCGATATCCAGGCCATGTAAAAATTTTTGTAATTGAAAAGTCTGGAAGCAAAGGTCGATGTATATTTGTAGGAAATATAAGGTCTAGTTTTTAACTTGAAATATGACTGGAACCTTTTGTGATTAAGAATATTACTTTATATATATTAATCGCGTCAATTCCTTTATTGGCATATTGAACTTTAAGGAAAAGACGGATTGTTTTAGCTGTGTATGATTTTGTCTAGGTCATTGTCAAATGCTCCCCATCTCTTGTCATCTGTTGATGGCCACTGTACTGTTGGTTTCCTATTGTCTCTAGATGGTTCTGGGATTGTCGCGTGTCCACTTGACTTATCTGGTTCTGACTCCATGCTGGCCTGAAAAGCATCAGTTGGTAAAAGGTTCTCAGTACTTTCGACTTCGTCCTGACTGTAGTCCTTCTCCGTCTGATCAGTGTTACCTATGCATTTCCTGTTGCCTCTCAGGTCTACATTTTGCCCTTGCCTGATGTATTTTTAACCCCCTCAGGTTTTTGTATAGTTTTCCGCAATAACATTTAGTTTCTGCCAGTATTCCTGTCAATGTCTGTTGGACTAGCCGAGTCATTGCTGTTGAATCTACGATGCTTGGTCTTTCATTCTCCCCCCTCTCAGACGACACTGGGAATGTTGCTCTTCTGTCTGTGTTGTAGCTTGCTGTGGTGTTCCCTCACAGGAACTGTGTTTTGGGCTGCCAACCCTTCACATCCATATTCAAGTCTTCCCTGGATGCCACCTGTCTCTCCAGGCGTCATAGCTGAGAGATGTCTCTCTATTAATTATTCAATTTATTGATAAAAACGTTGTTGTTTGCTCGAACATGACAATGAGCACACGGTGGTTGTAACCGGTTGACAGGGGATGCTTACTCCTCTGTAGCACCTGATTCCACCTCTTATGTTTTAGAGGTCACTGTTGGCTCTGTTCCAATTGAATTTTGAGCTCTAATACTTTTCGTTATTTCCATGTTTCATTCTCATACTGATGTTGTAAAGTCTTTTCTGAATGCTTCTCGGTAAAAACGATGGGTAATTCAGCTTTGGCATGTTTTGTGTCTAAGGGATTCGAGACAATAAATACGGAAAATGGAGTACGTCACGTAAAGTCTGCACAAATACCACCCTCCATGTAATAGGGAGGCGTAAATCTTAGAGGGCAAACGAAAACGTGTCCAATGAAGGGACACTGAATCAGAAATGTGTGACGGTTTAAAGAGTTAATAAGTACTTCTAAATAGAAAACCTCCTACAGACTGGATGTTGTGAAGCCATATTTGACATCAGAGGTACCCCCTATAACCAAGTCAGCAGTTATTTGACTTTCTGGGATTCTGTGTAACAGATTTGAATATGTTTAGTCATTCGATCTAACGAAAAATTGCGTTTGCAAAAAGGTCATGAAACTGACTTAAGAATTTTCCTAATGTTGACGTCAAAAGAGATTGTGGATACTAGTGTTGCAACAACTTTTTTTTCATTGGCTTCACTTGTTTGTCTTCTTTTAAAATATGCTCAAATCATTTATAGATAATTGATATAAAGGAAGAAGATTGAAGGTGAAAAAGTCCTCACAAACTTTTCACATAAAATTAGCTATCATGAAGCAGTCGTGTCAGACTCTGTTGTCTTTTGATCGATTTCAATGCGATTTCAATGTGATTTATCAACTCGATCAATATATAAATGAAAATTATTTTTGTATCTGAAGATCACAGCAATAGATTCCTAACAATAGAAGTTATTAGATATTTTCTACTTCATAAGAAAGCAAACAAACAAACAAAAAAAGATCTGCTAATATTGGTTCGCAAAAAATACCCATTGGATTTTCCACTTTTTTTTTCAATACTTGTGTGTAGAATCAGAATGGTTCACTAGATTTCTCCCCTTGTATTACCTATTGTGGAACAATACTATGCCTGGGGGTCATGATTTGAACAATGAACAGATATAATTTAGCATAGATCTACACTACTCCAACATGCTTCCACCTAGGTTTCAGGTTTTCTGATCCAGTGGGTTTTTTTTGAGAAGATTTTAAAAGATTTTTCCGATATATTACAATGTAAAATTTGCTTTCCCTATATTGTGTACTCGCCCTATCCTGGAGACCATTCTAGAATCTTCACTACCCAAGGATGTCTCCACAAAGTTTCAGCTTTCCTGGCTC